CTGTGCCACGTCCTGTCCCCTCTGTGCCCCCTGGCCACTGTCCCCACCCCCCACAGGACACCGGCTGACTGTCCCTCCTGTGGCCACCCCCAGGGCCACCCCCTGAGCCACCAGGGCCACTCCAGGGCCACCAGGGAGGGGGGGGGTTATATTTAGCCACCCCTTGGGCCACTCCTGGGCCACCCCTTGGGCCACCAGGGCCACCTCCTCGGCCACCAGGGCCAAGAGCCACTCTAAGGAGGGGTGGGGTGTTATATTTAGACCCCCCCTCCCCCACCAACCCCTGGGCCACCTCCAAGGCCAGTCCTCGGCCACCAGGGCCACCTCCTTGGCCACCAGGGCCACCTCCTCGGCCACCAGGGCCAAGAGCCACTCTAAGGAGGGAGGGGGGGTGGTGTTATATTTAGACCCCCTCCCCCACCCCCTGGGCCACCTCCAAGGACAGTCCTGGGCCACCCAGGGCCACCTCCAGGGCCACTCCTGTGGCCAGCAGGGCCAAGAGCCACCCGGGGGGGGGGCAGGGTATATTTAGCCCCCCCATGGCCACTCCAGGGCCACCAAGGGGGGAGGGGGGGGCAGGGTTTATATTTAGCCCCCCCCATGGCTACTCGAGGGCCACCAAGGGGGGAGGGGCAGGGTTATATTTAGCCCCTCCCCCCCCGGGCCCGGCGGGGTGCGGGGGCCATGGAGGTGGCAGTGCCACCCCGCGGGGGGGCCGCGCTGTCCCCGTCCCCCCTGCTGGGCCTGTGGCACTCGGGGAAGCCCCCCAAGAGGCCCAAGAAGGTGAACGTGCTGTTCTTCGAGGTGGAGATCCTGGACGCCCGCACGAGGGACAAGCTCTGCTTCCTCGACAAGGTACGGCCACAGGGACACCCCACGGGCACCCATGGGCACCCATGGGCACCCACGGGCACAGGGACACCCATGGGCACCCACGGGCACCCACTGTCACCTGCTGTCACCCACGGGGACAGGAACACCCCATGGGCACCCATGGGCACCCACTGTCACCCATGGCCACAGGGACACCCCACGGGCACCCATGGGCACCCACTGTCACCCATGGCCACAGGGACACCCCATGGGCACCCACGGGCACCCCCTGTCACCCATGGGCACCCACAGGCACCCACTGGCACCCACTGTCACCTGCTGTCACCCACGGCCACAGGGACACCCCATGGGCACCCACGGGCACCCACTGTCACCCACGGGGACAGGGACACCCCATTGGCACCCACGGGCACCCACTGTCACCCACTGTCACCCACGGCCACAGGGACACCCATGGGCACCCACGGGCACCCGCTGTCACCCACGGGCACCCACTGTCACCTGCTGTCACCCACGGCCACAGGGACACCCCATGGGCACCCACGGGCACCCACTGTCACCCATGGGGACAGGAACACCCCATGGGCACCCACAGGCACCCACTGTCACCCACGGCCACAAGGACACCCCATGGGCACCCACGGGCACCCACTGTCACCCACTGTCACCTGCCATGGCCACAGGGACACCCCATGGGCACCCACGGGCACCCACTGTCACCCATGGGCACAGGGACACCCCATGGGCACCCACGGGCACCCACTGTCACCCATGGGCACAGGGACACCCCATGGGCACCCATGGGCACAGGGACACCCCACGGGCACCCACTGTCACCCACGGGCACAGGGACACCCCATGGGCACCCACGGGCACCCGCTGTCACCCATGGGCACCACAGGCACCCACTGTCACCCATGGAGACAGGGACACCCCATGGGCACCCACAGCCACAGGGACACCCCATTGGCACCCACGGGGACAGGGACACCCCACTGTCACCCACTGTCACCCATGGGCACCCACGGGCACCCATTGTCACCCATGGGCACCCACGGGCACCCACTGTCACCTGCTGTCACCCACGGGGACAGGGACACCCCATGGGCACCCACGGGCACCCGCTGTCACCCATGGGCACCACAGGCACCCACTGTCACCCATGGAGACAGGGACACCCCATGGGCACCCACAGCCACAGGGACACCCCATTGGCACCCACGGGGACAGGGACACCCCACTGTCACCCACTGTCACCCATGGGCACCCACGGGCACCCATTGTCACCCATGGGCACCCACGGGCACCCACTGTCACCTGCTGTCACCCACGGGGACAGGGACACCCCATGGGCACCCACGAGCACCCACTGTCACCCATAGGCACAGGGACACCCCATGGGCACCCACGGGCACCCACTGTCACCCATGGGCACCCATGGCCACAGGGACACCCCATGGGCACCCACTGTCACCCACTGTCACCCATGGGCCACAGGGACACCCCATGGGCACCCACAGGCACCCACGGGCACCCACGGGGACCCATGGCCACAGGGACACCCCATGGGCACCCACTGTCACCCACTGTCCCGTACTGTCACCCACGGGGACAGGGACACCCCACGGGCACCCACTGTCACCCACGGGCACCCACTGTCACCCACTGTCACCCACGGCCATAGGGACACCCCATGGGCACCCACTGTCACCCGCTGTCACCCACCGTCACCCACGGGCACAGGAACACCCCGCTGTCACCCATGGCCACAGGGACACCCCATGGGCACCCATGGGCACCCACTGTCACCTGCTGTCACCCACGGGGACAGGGACACCCCATGGGCACCCACGGGCACCCACTGTCACCTGCTGTCACTCACGGGCACAGGGACACCCCATGGGCACCCACTGTCACCCACGAACACAGGGACACCCCATGGGCACCCACGGGCACCCGCTGTCACCTGCTGTCACCCACTGTCACCCACGGGCACCCACTGTCACCCACAGGCTCAGGGACACCCCATGGGCACCCACAGGCACCCACTGTCACCCATGGGCACCCACTGTCACCCACGGGCTCAGGGACACCCCACTGTCACCCACTGTCACCCATGGGGACAGGAACACCCCCTGGGCCCCACTCTCACCCACTGTCACCTACTGTCACCCACAGGGACAGGGACACCCACCGGGGCCATTGTCACCCACTGTCACCCATGGGGACAGGGATACCCCCTGTGTGGCCACTGTCACCCACGGGGGAAAGGGACACCCTCCCGTGGGCCTGCTGTCACCCACTGTCATCTGCTGTCACCTGCTGTCACCCATTGTCACTGTCACCCACTGTCACCCACTGGGACAGGGACACCCCCAGGGGGCCTGCTGTCACCCACTGTCACCCATGGGCACAGGGACACCCCCCTGTGTCCCCACTGTCACCCACTGTCACCCATGGGAACAGAGACACTCACTGGGGGGCCTGCTGTCACCCACTGTCACCCCGTCACCCATGGGCACAGGGTCACCCCCCTGGGGCCCACTGTCACCCACTGTCACTCACGGCCACGGGGACACCCCATTGTCACCCCCTGTCACCCACTGTCACCCATAGGCACAGGGTCACCCCCCTGGGGCCCAGTCGCCCACTGTCACCTTCTGTCACCCACAGGGAGAGGGACACCCCCCCGTGGGCCCACTGTCACCCACTGTCACCCACAGCCATGGGGACACCCCATTGTCACCCCCTGTCACCCATGGGCACAGGGACACCCCCCTGTGCCCCCACTGTCACCCACTGTCACCTTCTGTCACCCATGGGCACAGGGTCACCCCCCTGGGGCCCAGTCACCCACTGTCACCTTCTGTCACCCATGGGCACAGGGACACCCCCCTGGGGCCCACTGTCACCCACTGTCACTCACGGCCACGGGGACACCCCACTGTCACCCACTGTCACCCACTGTCACCCATGGGCACAGGGACACCCCCCTGGGGCCCCACTGTCACCCACTGTCACCCACTGTCACCCATGGGCACAGGGACACCCCCCCGGGGCCCACTGTCACCCACTGTCACTCACGGCCACGGGGACACCCCATTGTCACCCACTGTCACCCACTGTCACCCACAGGGACAGGGCCATTGCCCCCCATGTTCCCACTGTCACTGACAGGGACAGGGCAATCCTCCTGTGTCCCCACTGTCACCCAGGGCAGGGGACAGGGCCATCCCCCCCCATTCCCACTGTCACCCGTGGGGACAGGGACATCCCCCCTATGTCCCCACTGTCACCAGGGGCAGGGGACACGTCCGGGGTGTCCCCACGTCCCCCCAACAGCCTCGGTGTCCGCAGGTGGAGCCGCAGGCGACGGTTGGGGACATCAAAAACCTGTTCAGCAAATCCCGTGAGTGACGGGGATGGGATGGGATGGGATGGGATTGATGGGATGGGATTGATGGGATGGGATTGATGGGATGGGATGGGATGGGATGGGATGGGATGGGATGGGATGGGATTGATGGGATGGGATGGGATGGGATGGGATGGGATGGGATGGGATGGGATGGGATGGGATGGGAGGATGGGATGGGATGGGATGGGATGGGATGGGATGGGATGGGATGGGATGGGATGAGATGGATGGGATGGGATGGGATGGAGATGGATGGGATTGATGGGATGGGATGGGATGGGATGGGATTGATGGGATGGGATGGGATGGGATGGGATGGGATGGATTGATGGATGGGATGGGATGGGATGTGGATGGGATGGGATGGGATGGGATGTGATGGGATGGGATGGATGGGATTGATGGGATGGGATGGATGGATGGGATGGATGGGATGGGATGGGATGGGATGATGGGATGGGATGGGATGGGACGGATGGGATGGGATGGGATGGGATGGGATGGGATGGGATTGATGGATGGGATGGGATGGGATGGGATGGGATGGATGGGATTGATGGGATGGGATGGGATGGGATTGATGGGATGGGATGGGATGGGATGGATGGGATTGATGGGATGGGATGGGATGGGGATGGATGGATGATGGATGGGATGGGATGGGATGGGATGGGATGGATGGGATGGGATGGATGGGATGGGATGGGATGGGATGGGATGGGATGGGATGGGATGGGATGGATGGGATGGATGGGATGGGATGGGATTGATGGGATGGGATGGGATGGGATGGGATGGGATGGGATGGATGGGATGGGATGGGATGGGATGGGATGGGATGGGATGGGATGGATTGATGGGATGGGATGGATGGGATGGGATGGGATGGGATGGATGGGATGGGATGGGATGGGATGGGATGGATGATGGGATGGGATGGGATGGGATGGGATGGGATGAGGATGGGATGGATGGGATGGGATGGGATGGGATGGGATGGGATGGATGGGATGGGATGGGATGGGATGGGATGGGATGGGATGGGATGGGATGGATGGGATGGGATGGGATGGATGGGATGGGATGGGATGGGATGGGATGGGATTGATGGGATGGGATGGGATGGGATGGGATGGGATGGGATGGATGGGATGGGATGGGATGGGATGGGATGGGATGGGATGGGATGGGATTGATGGGATGGGATGGGATGGGATGGGATGGGATGGATGGATGGGATGGGATGGGATGGGATTGATGGGATGGGATGGGATGGGGTGGGATGGGATGGGATGGATGGATGGGATGGGATGGGATGGGATTGATGGGATGGGATGGGATGGGATGGGATGATGGGATGGATGGGATGGGATGATGGGATGGGATGGATGGGATGGGATGGGGATGGGATGGGATGGGATGGAAGAATGGGATGGGATGGGATGGGACTGATGGGATGGGATGGGATGGATGGGATGGGATGGGATGGGATGGGATGGGATTGATGGGATGGATGGGAAGGGAATGGGATGGGATGGGAGGGGAGGAGAGGGAAGGGGATGGGATGGGATGGGATGGATTGGGATGGATGGGATGGGATGGGATGGATAGGGATGGGATACAGGGATGGGATGGGATGGGATGGGATAGAGGGGATGGTTGGGAGGGGATGGGAATGGGGACAGGAATGGCACTGTCCCCTCAGTGCCACCACGTGTGTCCCCTCTGTCCCACAGACCCCCAGTGGTACCCAGCGAGACAGTCCCTGCGCCTCGACCCCAGTGAGTGTCACCACAGGGGGGGGTCCCCAGGTGTCTCAGGGTGTTCCAGATGCCCCCCCAGATGTCTCAGGTGTCCCTGGGATGTCCCCAGGTGTCCCAGGTGTCTCAGGTGTCCCCCAGGTGTCTGAGGTGTCCCCCAGGTGTCTGAGGTGTCCCCAGGTGTCTGAGGTGTCTCCAGGTGTCCCAGGTTTCTCAGATGTCCCCTAGGTGTGTCCCCAGGTGTCCCCAGGCTGTCCCCAGGTGTCCCAGGTGTCTGAGGTGTCCCTAGGTGTCTGAGGTGTCTCAGGCGTCCCAGGTGTCCCCTAGGTGTGTCCCCAGGCTGTCCCCAGGTGTCCCCAGGTGTCCCCAGGTGTCCCAGGTGTCTGAGGTGTCTCCAGGTGTCCCAGGTGTCCCCAGTCTGTCCCCAGTCTGTCCCCAGGTGTGCCCAGGTGTCTGAGGTGTCCCCAGATGTGTCCCCAGCTGTCCCAGGTGTCCCCAGGTGTGTCCCAGGTGTCTGAGGTGTCCGTGTCCCCAGAGGGTCGCTCGCTGAAGGACGAGGATGTGCTGCAGTCGCTGCCCGTGGGCACCACGGCCACGCTCTACTTCCGGGACCTGGGGGCTCAGATCAGCTGGGTCACGGTGAGGGACCGTCCCCACGGCCACCCTGTCACCCTCTGTGTCCCCATTGTGTCACCCGTGTCCCCTCTGTGTCACCCCGTCCCCTCTGTGTCACCCCTGCCCTCTCTGTGTCCCCCGTGTCACCCGTGTCCCCTCTGTGTCGCCCCTGCCCTCTCTGTGTCACCCCTGTGTCACCCTGTCCCCTCTGTGTCACTCCTGCCCTCTCTGTGTCCCCCACGGTCACCCTGTCCTCTTTGTGTCCCCCCTGTCCCCTCTGTGCCCCCCATGTCCCCCCCGTCACCCCCTGTGTCCCTGTCACCCCCCATCACCCCTTGGGGGTGTCGAGCAGGTGTCCCAGGTGTCCCCTGTCCCTGTCCCAGTCCCTGCAGCTGTTCCTGACGGAGTACGCGGGGCCATTGCTCATTTACCTGTCCCCTGTCCCTGATGTCCCTGTCCATGATGTCCCTGCTGTCCCTGTCCCTGTCCCCTGCAGGTGTTCCTGACGGAGTTCCCTTGGCCACTGCTCATTTACCTGTCCCCTGTCCCTGATGTCCCTGATGCCCCTGTCCCCTGTCCCAGCTGTTCCTGACAGAGTACACGTGGCCATTGCTCATTTACCTGTCACAGCTGTCCCTGACTGTCCCTGATGTCCCTGACTGTCCCAGGTGTCCCAGCTGTCCCTGCAGGTGTTCCTGACGGAGTATGCGGGGCCGCTGCTCATTTACCTGCTGTTCTATTTTCAGGGCTATTGCTCATTTGCCTGTCCCAGGTGTCCCTGATGTCCCTGATGTCCCTGCAGGTGTTCCTGACGGAGTACGCAGGGTCATTGCTCATTTACCTGTCCCAGGTGTCCCAGGTGTCCCTGATGTCCCTGTCCCAGGTGTCCCAGGTGCCCCTGTCCCTGATGTCCCTGATGTCCCTGCAGGTGTTCCTGATGGAGTATGCAGGGCCATTGCTCATTTACCTGTCCCCGATGTCCCCTGCAGGTGTTCCTGACAGAGTATGCAGGGCCATTGCTCATTTACCTGTCCCAGGTGTCCCAGGTGCCCCTGTCCCTGATGTCCCTGATGTCCCTGCAGGTGTTCCTGACGGAGTATGCAGGGCCATTGCTCATTTACCTGCTGTTCTATTTTCGGGATTATTGCTCATTTACCTGTCCCAGGTGTCCCAGGTGTCTCTGATGTCCCTGTCCCTGTCCCTGCAGGTGTTCCTGATGGAGTATGCAGGGCCATTGCTCATTTACCTGTCCCTGATGTCCCTGCAGGTGTTCCTGACGGAGTATGCAGGGCCATTGCTCATTTACCTGTCCCAGGTGTCCCTGATGTCCCTGATGTCCCTGTCCCTGTCCCTGCAGGTGTTCCTGAGGGAGTATGCGGGGCCGTTGCTCATTTACCTGTCCCAGGTGTCCCTGTCCCTGATGTCCCTGTCCCTGTCCCTGCAGGTGTTCCTGACAGAGTATGCAGGGCCACTGCTCATTTACCTGCTGTTCTATTTTCGGGTGCCGTTCCTGTACGGGCCCCGCTACGACTTCACCGCCAGCCGGCACCGCGTCGTGCAGTGAGCGCTGGGGGTCCTGGGGGCAAAGGGGGCGAGAGGGGATCTGGGGGGATCAGGGGGTCTGGGGGGCAATGGGAGGAGCCCTGGAGGGTCTCAGAGAGGCTAAGAGGGGTCTGGGGACTCTGGGAGGGAGCAATGAGGGAGTTCTGGGGGGCAATGGGGAGGTTCTGAGGGGCCTGGAGGAGGCTCAGTGGGCATTGGGGGTCTGGGGTGTCAGGGGTTCTGGGGGTCAATGGGAGGGGCCCTGGAGGGTCTCAGAGGGGCTAGGGGGTCTCTCATTGTTCCTCCTCCTGGGAGGGAACAATGAGGGGCTCTGGGGGCATTGGGGGTCTCTGAGAGGACTGGGGTGTCGGGGGTCTGGGAGGGAGCAATGGGGAGCCCTAGAGGACAGTGGGGACTTGGAGGGGTCTGGGGGTCTGAGAGCATCGGGGGGCTGGGAGGGGAAATGAGGGGGCCAGGAGGGGTTTGAGAGGGGCAATGGGGGCCCCTGGAGGGTCTGGGAACATCAGGGGGAACTGGGAGGGGGCAATGGGGGTCCTGAGGGGACTGGGGGTGTCAGGGGTCTGGAGGGGTAACAGGGGGTCTTGGGGGTCTGGGGGCTGTGCAGTGCAATGGAGGGGTCGGGTGGGCCCTGCAGGAGGCAATGGGGGAGTGGGGGCACAGGAGGCCAGCCAGCGGGGTGGGGTGTCCCCAGGGCGCGTCCCTGTGGCGTCCCCTGACCCCCCTGTCCCCTGCCCCCTGTGACCCCTCTGTGACCCCCCCTGTGTCCCCTGCCCCTCTGTGACCCCCTGGTGCCCCCTGCCCCCTGTGACCCCCCTGTGTCCCCCCCAGCCTGGCCTGTTGCTGCCACTCGTTCCACTACGTGAAGCGGCTGCTGGAGACGCTCTTCGTGCACCGCTTCTCGCACGGCACGGTGCCCCTGTGCAACATCTTCAAGGTGCCACCCTGTCCCCTGTGTCCCCTGTGACCTCTGTGTCCCCCCTGGCACCCCCTGTCACCTCCTGGGTCACTGCAGCCCCCCCAGGTCACCCCCGTCCCCTCCCTGTCCCTCCCTGTCCCACCGGCACGATGCCCCTGCACAACATCTTCAAGATGCCACCGTGCCCCCCATGTCCCCTGTGCCCTCTGTCACCTCTGTCACCCCCCTGCCACCTCCTGGGACCCCGACCTCCTGACTCCTGTCCCTCCCTGTCCCACCTGCACGGTGCCCCTGCGCAACATCTTCAAGGTGCCACCCTGTCCCCTGTGCTCTCTGTCATCCCCTGTCCTGACACCCTCCCTGGCACCCCTGGGTCACTGCAGCCCCCCCAGATCACCCCTGTCCCCTCCCTGTCCCCCCCCTGTCCCCACAGCTCCTTTCATGGCACCGTGACCCTGCACAACACTTTGGGGTGGCACTGCCACCTTTGTCACCCCCTTGTCACCTCCCTGGCACTCCATGTCACCCCTGGGTCACCACATCCCCCTGGGTCGCCCCCTGTCCCCTCCCTGTCCCCTCCCTGTCCCCACAGCTCCTCTTGTGGCACCGTGACCCTGCACGACATCCTCAGGGTGTGACTGTCACCTCTGTCCCCTCCCTGTCCCCTCCCTGTCCTCCCGGGGTCCCCACCCCCCCCAGCAGCACCTGCACACCAGGGTGTCCCCAGGTGTCCCTCCCCCCGTGCCAGGGTGTCCCCAACGTGTCCCCAATGTGTTCCCAAAGTGTCCCCAGGTGTCCCTCCTCCAGTGCCAGGGTGTCCCCAGGGTGTCCCCAAAGTGTCTCCAGGTGTCCCTCCCCCGGTGCCAGGGTGTCCCCAACGTGTCCCCAACGTGTCCCCAACGTGTCCCCAATGTCCCCAGAACTGCACCTACTACTGGGGCTTCGCTGCCTGGATGGCCTATTACATCAACCACCCCCTGTACACCCCGCCAGGTGAGTCCCTGTCACCCCCTGTCACCTCCTGTCACCCCCTGTCCCCTATTACATCAACCACCCCCTGTACACCCCGCCAGGTGAGTCCCTGTCACCTCCTGTCACCCCCCTGTCACCCCCCTGTCCCCTATTACATCAACCACCCCCTGTACACCCCACCAGGTGAGTCCCTGTCACCCCCTGTCACCTCCTGTCACCCCCCTGTCCCCTTCCTGTCACCCCCTGTCCCCTATTACATCAACCACCCCCTGTACACCCCGCCAGGTGAGTCCCTGTCACCCCCCTGTCACCCCCTGTCCCCTATTACATCAACCACTCCTGTACACCCCGCCAGGTGAGTCCCTGTCCCCTCTTGTCACCCCCTGTCACCTCCTGTCCCCTATTACATCAACCACCCCCTGTACACCCCGCCAGGTGAGTCCCTGTCACCCCCTGTCACCTCCTGTCACCCCCCTGTCCCCTGCCCTGTCCCCTGGCTGTCCCCAGCAGTGTCACCTGTCCCCATCCCTGTCACCTGCGTGTCCCCAATGTGTCCCCAACTGTCCCCATCACACCCCCCCTCCCTGTGTCCCCCCACATCCCCTTGGGGACACCACGGGGGGGTGTCACTGTCCTTGACCCCCCCAATGTCCCCCAGGGGGGTGTCACTGTCCCTGACCCCCCAATGTCCCTTGGGGACACCAAGGGGGGGTGTCACTGTCCTTGACCCCCCCAATGTCCCCCAGGGGGGTGTCACTGTCCCTGACCCCCCAATGTCCCTGGGGACACCAAGGGGGTGTCACTGTCCCTGACCCCCCCAATGTCCCTTGGGGACACACCCCTGGGGGTGTCACTGTCCCTGACCCCCCCAATGTCCCCTGGGGACACCACGGGGGGGTGTCACTGTCCCTGACCCCCAATGTCCCCTGGGACACCACGGAGGTGTCACTGTCCCTGACACCCCCAATGTCCCCTGGGGACACCACGGGGGGGTGTCACTGTCCCTGACCCCCACAATGTCCCCTGGGGACACCACAGGGGTGTCACTGTCCCTGACCCCCACAATGTCCCCCGTGTCCCCCCAGCCTACGGTGACGAGCAGGTGAAGGTGGCACTCGCCGTGTTCCTGGTGGGTCCCCACGGGGGGACTGGGAGGGGCTGGGGGTCCCAGTGGTGCTGGGGGCCATGGGGGCTGGGGGTCCCAATGGGTGCTGGGGGCCATGAGGGTCCCACTGGGTGCTGGGGACTTGGGGGGGCTGGGAGTATTGGGGTGTTGAGGAGGGTCCCAGTGGCTGCTGGGGGCTTTGGGGGTGCTGGGGGTCCCAGTGAGTGTGGGGGGCTGAGGGGGTCCCAGTGGGTGCTGGGGGTCATGGGGGGTCCCAGTGGGTGCTGAGGGTGACATGGGAGGGGTCCCAGTGGATGCTGGGGTTTCAAGTGCTGGGGGTCCCAGTGGGTGCTGGGGAGGTTTGGGTTTGCTTGGGAGGTCCCAGTGGGTGCTGGGGAGTTTGGGTTTGCTGAGGGGTCCCAGTGGGTGCTGGGAGGTGATTGGGGGTGCTTAGGGGTCCCAGTGGGTGCTGGGGGTGTTTGGGGGTGTTCTAGGGGTCCCAGTGGGTGCTGGGGGGTTTGGGGTGCTGGGGGTCCCAGTGGGTGCTGAGGGGTCCCAGTGGGTGCTGTAGGGGTCCCAGTGGGTGCTGGGGGTGAATGGGAGGGGTCCCAGTGGGTGCTGGGAGGGGTCCCAGTGGGTGCTGGGGGGTTTGGGGGTGCTGTAGGGGGTCCCAGTGGGTGCTGGGGGGTCCCAGTGGGTGCTGGGGGCTGAGGGGGTCCCAGTGGGTGCTGGGGAGGTTTGGGATGCTGGGAGGTCCCAGTGGGTGCTGAGGGTGAATGGGAGGGTCCCAGTGGGTGCTGTAGGGGGTCCCAGTGGGTGCTGGGGAGGTTTGGGTGTGCTGGGGGGTCCCAGTGGGTGCTGGGGGTGTTCTAGTGGGTGCTGGGAGGGGGTCCCAGTGGGTGCTGTAGGGGTCCCAGTGGGTGCTGGGGGTTTGGGGTGCTGTAGGAGTGTCCCAGTGGGTGCTGGGAGGGTCCCAGTGGGTGCTGGGGGGTGTTTGGGGATGCTGGGGGTCCCAGTGGGTGCTGGGGTGTTTGAGGGTGCTGGGAGGGTCCCAGTGGGTGCTGGGGAGTGTTTGGGGTGCTCTAGGGGTCCCAGTGGGTGCTGGGGGTGTTTTGGGGTGCTGAGGGGGCTTGGGAGGGTCAGATGGGTGCCAGGGGGTCCAGGTGCCACCCAGCACTCAGACCCCCTCAGACCCTCCCCATGTCCCCCCCAGTTCTGCCAACTCGGGAACTTCTCCATCCACGTGGCCCTGAGGAACCTGCGCCCCGCGGGTGAGGGGGGACAGGGGGGACACCCAGGGACAGGGGGACACCCAGGGACAGGGGGGACACCCAGGGACACCCAGGGACAGTGGGGACACCCAGGGACAGTGGGGACACCGGGGGACAGGGGGACACCCAGGGACAGGGGGGACACCCAGGGACAGGGGGGACAGGGGACACCCAGGGACAGTGGGGACACCCAGGGACACCGGGGGGGACACCCAGGGACAGGGGGACACCCAGGGACACCCAGGGACAGGGGGGACACCCAGGGACAGGGGACACCCAGGGACACCCAGGGACAGCGGGGACACCCAGGGACACAGGGGAGACACAGGGGACACCCAGGGACAGGGGGACACCCAGGGTCAGAGGGACACGGGGGACAGGGGGGACACCCAGGGACAGGGGGACACCCAGGGACACCCAGGGACAGGGGGACACCCAGGGACAGGGGGGACACCCAGGGACAGGGGGGACACCCAGGGACAGGGGGACACGGGGGACACCCAGGGACAGGGGGACACCCAGGGACAGCAGGGGGCACAGGGAAAGGGGGGACACGGGGGACACGGGGACAGGGGCACACCCAGGGACAGGAGGGGACATGGGGGACATTGGGGGACATAGGGGGACATGGGGACAGGGGGACACAGGGACAGGGGGACACGGGGACAGGGACGTGGGGACACCCAGGACATGGGAGGTGACACGAGGGGTGACGTGTCCAGCAGAGTGACACTGAGGGTGACACTGAGAGTGACACTGAGGGTGACACTAGGGGTGGAGCGTGACACGGGAGGGGTGACAGGGAGGGGGTGACATTTTAGTGACCGTGTGCAGGGGTGACACTGGGGTGACACTGGGGTGACTCCTGTCTGGAGGTCACAGGGAGGTCACAGGGGGTGACAATGGGGGTGACCCAGCTGTGAATGTGTCTGGGGGTCACAGGGGGTGACACTGGGGGTGACCCCTGTCTGGGGAGGGGGTCACAGAGGGGTGACACTGGGGGTGACCCAGCTGTGACATGTCCCCTGTGGGGGGGGGGTGACACCGAGGGTGACCCAGCTGTGACGTGTCCCCTGGGGGGGGGTGACACTGGGGGTGACCCAGCTGTGACATGTCCCCTGTGGGGGGTGACACCGAGGGTGACCCAGCTGTGATGTGTCTCCTGGGTGGGAAAGGGTGACCCGTTTTGGGGTTCCAGGCTCCAAGACCCGGAAGATCCCGTACCCCACCCGGAACCCCTTCACGTGGCTCTTCCTGCTCGTGTCCTGCCCCAACTACACCTACGAGGTGGGGGGGACAAAGTGGGGGGGACACAGCCCTGGGGGACGGGGGGCTCTTGGGGGGATGATGATAGAGGAGGGATGGAAGGGGGTCCTGGGGGACAACAGGGGCACATGGCCTGGGGGCTCCTTGGGGGACAGGCTGGGAGCTCCTGGGGAAACACAGCCCTAGGGGGCTTGGGGGACATGGCCCTGGGGGGGTCCTGGGAGGTTCTTGGGGGGACATGGCCTTGGGGGCCTTTTTGGAGTAAACGGGGGGTTCCTGGGGGGACAGGGAGGGAGAGATGGCCCTGGGGAATTCCTGGGGGTGGGGGGGACATGGTCCTGGGGGAACAGGGGTGGTCCTGGGGGCACATGGCCCTGGGGGCTCCGTGGGGGATCAGGGTGGGAGCTCCTGGGGGGAAACACAGCCCTGGGGGCTCCTGGGGGGTCGGGGGATCCTGGGTGGACAGGGAGGGAAGATGGCCCTGGGGACTCCTGGGGGATGGGGGGGACACGGCCCTGGGAGCTCCTGGGGCAGCACTGGGGACACAATCCGAAGGGGGGACATCACTGGGGTGGGGGAAGGGACGGCCCTGGGGGCTCCAGGAGTGTGGGGAAGGTGGGGGTGCTGGGGCGGGGCCTGGAGGGGGAGGGGCACCCCTGGGGAGGTGACACCATCCTGGGGGAGGAGGGGACACCCCTGGGGATAGCTGTGCTGAGGGGGAGAGGGGCACAGCAGCACTGGGAGGGGGAGGGAGCCCTATAGGGACCTGTTCCCCTCAATGGCGACCCCCTCAATCGGTGACCCCCTCAGTGGTGACCCTCTCCCCAGGTCGGGTCCTGGATTGGCTTCACCATCATGACCCAGTGCCTGCCCGGTGAGGGGGACACTGGGAGGAGGACATGGTGGGGGACACTGGGAGGGCTGGAGGGGAAAGGGGCCCTTTTGGGGGATTTGTGATGGGGTGCACCTTGGTGGGGGAGGGGGACACTCTGGAGTCTCTGGGGTCCCTCCCCCCATGTCCCCTGTGCCACCCTGGGGTCCCCGTGTGCCCTGGCCCCCCTTCATGTCCCTCCCCATGTCCCCTGTCCCCACCCCTGTCCCCCCTCCATGCCCTCCCCTGTCCCACCCCAGGGTCCCCTGTCCTCTCATGTCCCCTTCCCCTCTCAGGGCTGCCCAAATCTCCCATCCCCAGGGGTCCATGTCCCTCCTGGGGTCTCCTGTCCCCATCCATGTCCCTTGTCCCACTCTGGGGTCCCCTGTCCCCTCCCCTGTCCCTCTCCTGTCCCCTGTCCCACCCCCAACTCCTTCCCCCCTACACCTCCCTGGGATGTCCCTCCCTGTCCCCTCCCCCGTGCCCCCCGGGCGTGCTGTCCCTGCCCGGTGGTGACAGTGGCCCTGGTGGCCCCGGTGTCCCCACAGTGGCCCTTTTCTCGCTCGTGGGCTTCGTGCAGATGGCGATCTGGGCCCAGGGGAAGCACCGCAGCTACCTCCGGGAATTCCGGGATTATCCCCCCCTGCGCTCCCCCATCATCCCCTTCCTGCTGTGACAGCCTTGGGGACACCCTGAGGACACCTGGGGACATCCCAGGGACACCCCCAACCTCCGGGAATTCCAGGATTATCCCCCCCTGCGCTCCCCCATCATCCCCTTCCTGCTGTGACAGCCCTGGGGACATCCCAGGGACACCCCCAACCTCCAGGAATTCCAGGATTATCCTGCCCTGTGCTCCCCCATCATCCCCTTCCTGCTGTGACAGCCCTGGGGACATCCCAGGGACACCTGGGGACATCCCAGGGACACCCCCAACCTCCAGGAATTCCAGGATTATCCTGCCCTGTGCTCCCCCATCATCCCCTTTCTGCTATGACACCCTGGGGACACCCCCAGCTGTGGGAATTCCGGGATTATCCGCTCCTCTGATCCCCCATTGTCCCCTTCCTGCTGTGACAGCCTGGGGACACCCCGGGACACCCCCTCCCACCCTGTGGGGACAGCCCAAGGACACCCCATCCCCCACTGTCCCCTCCTCACTGTGCCACCTCGGGCAGCCCTTGGGGACACCCCGAACTCTGGGGACACCCTGAGCTGTCCCAGGACAGGGACACGAGCCCGTTGTCACAGCAGGGCATGGGGGGGGGGATGTGGCCCCCCTGTCCCCGCCCCCAGTGACACTGTCACACCCAGTGTCCCCTCCCCAGTGACAGTGTCACCCCCAGGGCTGGCCCAGCCTCTGGTGACATCAGTGGCGGTGACAAGGTGGTGTCACCCACCCCCCCCACGGGATCTGTCCCCACGTCCCCTGTCCCTGCAGGTGACAATAAATCACTTCCCTCCCCCCACGCGTGGCCTGTCATTGTCCCACCCCAGGGGACACAGAGGGGGGGTCATGTGGGGACAACCCTGCTGTCCCCAGGCCGGGGGGGGGTTGTTGCTGCATTGTCCCCATGATGTCCCCACGATGTCCCCACGCACAGGGAGGGGCCGTCACGGCGTCACTCGGTGATTTTATTGGACAGGGGTGGCCTTGTCACCGTGGCTGGGGGTGGCGGCTGTCACTCGGTGTCACTCAGTGGCCTTGGTGTCACTCAGCGTCACTCACTGTCGGTGGCCTCGGTGTCACTCGGTGTCACTCAGCGGCCTCAGTGGCCTCGGTGGCCTCCTGGCGCTTCCGGAGCCGCTTCTGGCGCTGCCGGAGCCGCCGCTCGCGCTCGAACTCCTTCATGCGCATCACGTAACTGTGGGGACAGCCCTGTCACCTCCCTGTGTCACCTCCCCTGTCACCTCCCTGTGTGTGTCACCTCCCCTGTCACCTCCCTGTGTGTGTCACCTCCCTGTCACTGTCACCACACCTCCTTCATGTGCATCACGTAACTGTGGGGACAGCCCTGTCACCTCCCTGTGCGTGTCACCTCCCTGTCACTGTCACCCTGTCACTGTCACTTCTGTCACTGTCACCCATCACTGTGTCACCACACCTCCTTCATGCGCATCACGTAACTGTGGGGACAGCCCTGTCACCTCCCCTGTCACCTCCTCTGTCACTTCCCCTGTCACCTCCCCTGTCACCAGCCGTGTCACCACCACTGTCACCCTGTCACTGTCTGTGTCACTGTGTCACTACCTGTGTCACTGTCTGTGTCACCACCTGTGTCACTGTCTGTGTCACCGTCTGTGTCACCGGGTGTCACCACGTCACCTTCATGCACATCACACAGCTGGGACAGGGACATTTGCCACCAGTGTCACCGGGTGTGTCACCTGGGGTCATCGTGTGTCACCGTGTCACTGTCACCGCGTGTCACCACATCGCTGTGTGTCACTGTGTGCCATTGCACCTCACTGCGTGTCACTGCGTGTCACCATCACACGTCACCGCGTGTCACTGTGTCACCGTGTGTCACCCCATGTCACCGCGTTACACATCACGGGCTGTGTCACAACGTGTCACCAGCTGTCACCGTGTCCCCATGTCCCCCTATGTCACGGTGTGTCCCCACGTGTCCCCACAGCCACCGTGGGAACAGGGACAGGGAAGGGGGATGGGCACCGCGGTGTCCCCATGTCCCCAACGGCCTCCCACACCCCCCCTGTGTCCCTGTCACCCCCCATGTCCCTGTCACCCCCCACCCTGTCCCTCCTGTCCCCGTCCCTCTCCCTGTGTCCTGCCTGTCCCAGTGTCCCCATGTCCCCGTGTCCCCCTCCCCACTGTGTGTCCCTGTT